AAAGTTGCGGGTGGAATAATCCTCCTTTCATTACCCCCCCCCCCCCCAGCGTTTGCCCATTTACAACAACAACCCCCTCCCCCCCGCCCGGAAGTTCAGTGGATGGGGGAGTCGGGTGGGGGAGGGGTGGGTTGAGGTGGAGGGATGTTCACGTGAGGGGGGGGGGGGTTTGATTAGGTGGGGGGTTTAGTGGGGGGAGGGGAGCAAAGGGGCAAACGTTGCGGGGGGGGGACGGAGTTGGGAGAGCTTAACGAAATCTTTTTGCAATTTGAGTTTAGGTTTAGAAATGGGTTAGGCCGTACACTCGCTCTGCAAAATTTCCGCATAACTCACTTGATAAATGCAGAAATTCTTGCTAAACTTTGCACGACGCGCGAAACAAAAAAAAAGTTGAAAAAAAATCCATTTTAAGGTGATTTCCCATAAATTATAAAATCCATTATAACCCTATATTGGATTCCAAATGAACTATAATGCGTTTTGTTTTGGCGAGAAAAATGGATTTAAATCCATTTTTAGTCCAATTTTGTTGTCTGAAAATAAGATGGGAATCGATTATATTTACAACTTTTTAGACCATGAAAATCCATTATAATCGATTTGTTTTCACTTTTCTTAAATGCAGGAACGCTTGTCTAAAAATTGTGCAGGTGGCCATAATCATGTAAGAACTCAGAATTCAAAAACGTTCCTTTGATCAAACTGTAACATCGTTTTTTTGCAGTTTAGAACACCAATAGTCTTTCGAAAATATATTATTAGCAAAAAAATCAAGAAGGTTTTGAACAAAAGCCAATTATTTGCTTGAAATTTAGCCTGAGAAGTTTTTTGAGGCTTTCACTTTTAATTTATTTTTCAAACCTTTTAAACACTTACCTTATCCTTTTGCTCTAAATGGATAAAAAAAAACATTTTAGAAAAAAAAGCAAAAGGAAATTTTCTCTGCATACGGTCGAACCCTCTGTAAGATTTTCTTTTAGTGAATCGTCTTACTCTTCTTACTTCCAGGTGGCTTTTTGGATCAACAGGGAAGGAATTCCCGGCCGAGCATGTCTGTCAATCACAACTGTCCTGTCTCTCATCACTCTGATTGGATCCACCAACTCAAAACTACCCAATGTGTCTGCAGTGAAAGCACTCGATGTTTATTTCTTCATCTGTTTCGGATATGTGTTCGGAGGGCTGTTAGAGTTTGCGACAGTTATTTATTTAGGTAGGTACGGTTTTAAAACCATATATCCACGAGAGAAAGGAGCAACATAACAGCTTTACAGCTCGTTACGGCTAGCCGCTGTTGTGCCCCTGCTTAAAAATTAAATGCAATTTTTTTGCTATTTTCCTGGGCTGTGTAATGTTGCCTCAACCTCAAGCAACAAGCGCTTGGTGAGAATAACTTTGTGAATAATGTGGGGCAAGATGGTTGTTTTGTCGAAAGAACAATACTATTAAGACTATTTATCCACGAGAGGACGGACCAACATGCAAACTATAAAGCTCATCACTGCGAACCGCTGTTGTGCCCCTCTGCTTAAAACTAAATGCAATTTTTTTGCTAATTTCCTGGGCTGTGTAATGTTGCCTCAACCACAAGCAACAAGCGCTTGGTGAGAAAAACTTTGTGAATAATGTGGGGCAAGATGGTTGTTTTGTCGAAAGAACAATACTATTAAGACTATTTATCCACGAGAGGACGGACCAACATGCAAACTATAAAGCTCATCACTGCGAACCGCTGTTGTGCCCCTCTGCTTAAAACTAAATGCAATTTTTTTGCTAATTTCCTGGGCTGTGTAATGTTGCCTCAACCACAAGCAACAAGCGCTTGGTGAGAAAAACTTTGTGAATAATGTGGGGCAAGATGTTTGTTTTGTCGAAAGAACAATACTATTAAGACTATTTATCCACGAGAGGACGGACCAACATGCAAACTATAAAGCTCATCACTGCGAACCGCTGTTGTGCCCCTCTGCTTAAAACTGAATGCAATTTTTTTGCTATTTTCCTGGGCTGTGTAATGTTGCCTCAACCTCAAGCAACAAGCGCTTGGTGAGAATAACTTTGTGAATAATGTGGGGCAAGATGGTTGTTTTGTCGAAAGAACAATAATATTAAGACTATTTATCCACGAGAGGACGGACCAACATGCAAACTATAAAGCTCATCACTGCGAACCGCTGTTGTGCCCCTCTGCTTAAAACTAAATGCAATTTTTTTGCTATTTTCCTGGGCTGCGTAATGTTGCCTCAACCTCAAGCAACAAGCCCTTGGTGAGAATAACTTTGTGAATAATGTGGGGCAAGATGGTTGTTTTGTCGAAAGAACAATACTATTAAGAATATTTATCCACGAGAGGACGGACCAACAAGCAAACTATAAAGCTCATCACTGCGAACCGCTGTTGTGTACCTCTACTTAAAACTAAATGCAATTTTTTTGCTATTTTCCTGGGCTGTGTAATGTTGCCTCAACCTCAAGCAACAAGCGCTTGGTGAGAATAACTTTGTGAATAATGTGGGGCAAGATGGTTGTTTTGTCGAAAGAACAATACTATTAAGACTATTTATCCACGAGAGGACGGACCAACATGCAAACTATAAAGCTCATCACTGCGAACCGCTGTTGTGCCCCTCTGCTTAAAACTAAATGCAATTTTTTTGCTATTTTCCTGGGCTGCGTAATGTTGCCTCAACCTCAAGCAACAAGCCCCTGGTGAGAAAAACTTTGTGAATAACGTGGGGCATGATGGTTGTTTTGTCGAAAGAACAATACTATTAAGAATATTTATCCACGAGAGGACGGACCAACATGCAAACTATAAAGCTCATCACTGCGAACCGCTGTTGTGCCCCTCTGCTTAAAACTGAATGCAATTTTTTTGCTATTTTCCTGGGCTGTGTAATGTTGCCTCAACCTCAAGCAACAAGCGCTTGGTGAGAATAACTTTGTGAATAATGTGGGGCAAGATGGTTGTTTTGTCGAAAGAACAATACTATTAAGACTATTTATCCACGAGAGGACGGACCAACATGCAAACTATAAAGCTCATCACTGCGAACCGCTGTTGTGCCCCTCTGCTTATAACTAAATGCAATTTTTTTGCTTTTTTCCTGGGCTGCGTAATGTTGCCTCAACCTCAAGCAACAAGCCCTTGGTGAGAATAACTTTGTGAATAATGTGGGGCAAGATGGTTGTTTTGTCGAAAGAACAATACTATTAAGAATATTTATCCACGAGAGGACGGACCAACATGCAAACTATAAAGCTCATCACTGCGAACCGCTGTTGTGCCCCTCTGCTTAAAACTGAATGCAATTTTTTTGCTATTTTCCTGGGCTGTGTAATGTTGCCTCAACCTCAAGCAACAAGCGCTTGGTGAGAATAACTTTGTGAATAATGTGGGGCAAGATGGTTGTTTTGTCGAAAGAACAATACTATTAAGACTATTTATCCACGAGAGGACGGACAAACATGCAAACTATAAAGCTCATCGCTGCGAACCGCTGTTGTGCCCCTCTGCTTAAAACTGAATGCAATTTTTTTGCTATTTTCCTGGGCTGTGTAATGTTGCCTCAACCTCAAGCAACAAGCGCTTGGTGAGAATAACTTTGTGAATAATGTGGGGCAAGATGGTTGTTTTGTCGAAAGAACAATACTATTAAGACTATTTATCCACGAGAGGACGGACCAACATGCAAACTATAAAGCTCATCACTGCGAACCGCTGTTGTGCCCCTCTGCTTGAAACTAAATGCAATTTTTTTGCTATTTTCCTGGGCTGCGTAATGTTGCCTCAACCTCAAGCAACAAGCCCTTGGTGAGAATAACTTTGTGAATAATGTGGGGCAAGATGGTTGTTTTGTCGAAAGAACAATACTATTAAGAATATTTATCCACGAGAGGACGGACCAACATGCAAACTATAAAGCTCATCACTGCGAACCGCTGTTGTGCCCCTCTGCTTAAAACTGAATGCAATTTTTTTGCTATTTTCCTGGGCTGTGTAATGTTGCCTCAACCTCAAGCAACAAGCGCTTGGTGAGAATCACTTTGTGAATAATGTGGGGCAAGATGGTTGTTTTGTCGAAAGAACAATACTATTAAGACTATTTATCCACGAGAGGACGGACCAACATGGAAACTATAAAGCTCATCACTGCGAACCGCTGTTGTGCCCCTCTGCTTAAAACTAAATGCAATTTTTTTGCTATTTTCCTGGGCTGTGTAATGTTGCCTCAACCTCAAGCAACAAGCGCTTGGTGAGAATAACTTTGTGGATAATGTGGGGCAAGATGGTTGTTTTGTCGAAAGAACAATACTATTAAGACTATTTATCCACGAGAGGACGGACCAACATGCAAACTATAAAGCTCATCACTGCGAACCGCTGTTGTGCCCCTCTGCTTAAAACTGAATGCAATTTTTTTGCTATTTTCCTGGGCTGTGTAATGTTGTCTCAACCTCAAGCAACAAGCGCTTGGTGAGAATCACTTTGTGAATAATGTGGGGCAAGATGGTTGTTTTGTCGAAAGAACAATACTATTAAGAATATTTATCCACGAGAGGACGGAACAACATGCAAACTATAAAGCTCATCACTGCGAACCGCTGTTGTGCCCCTCTGCTTAAAACTGAATGCAATTTTTTTGCTATTTTCCTGGGCTGTGTAATGTTGCCTCAACCTCAAGCAACAAGCGCTTGGTGAGAATCACTTTGTGAATAATGTGGGGCAAGATGGTTGTTTTGTCGAAAGAACAATACTATTAAGACTATTTATCCACGAGAGGACGGACCAACATGGAAACTATAAAGCTCATCACTGCGAACCGCTGTTGTGCCCCTCTGCTTAAAACTAAATGCAATTTTTTTGCTATTTTCCTGGGCTGTGTAATGTTGCCTCAACCTCAAGCAACAAGCGCTTGGTGAGAATAACTTTGTGGATAATGTGGGGCAAGATGGTTGTTTTGTCGAAAGAACAATACTATTAAGACTATTTATCCACGAGAGGACGGACCAACATGCAAACTATAAAGCTCATCACTGCGAACCGCTGTTGTGCCCCTCTGCTTAAAACTAAATGCAAATTTTTTGCTATTTTCCTGGGCTGTGTAATGTTGCCTCAACCTCAAGCAACAAGCGCTTGGTGAGAATAACTTTGTGGATAATGTGGGGCAAGATGGTTGTTTTGTCGAAAGAACAATAGTATTCAGAATATTTATCCACGAGAGGACGGACCAACATGCAAACTATAAAGCTCATCACTGCGAACCGCTGTTGTGCCCCTCTACTTAAAACTAAATGCAATTTTTTTGCTATTTTCCTGGGCTGTGTAATGTTGCCTCAACCTCAAGCAACAAGCGCTTGGTGAGAATAACTTTGTGAATAATGTGGGGCAAGATGGTTGTTTTGTCGAAAGAACAATACTATTAAGACTATTAATCCACGAGAGGACGGACCAACATGCAAACTATAAAGCTCATCACTGCGAACCGCTGTTGTGCCCCTCTGCTTAAAACTAAATGCAATTTTTTTGCTATTTTCCTGGGCTGCGTAATGTTGCCTCAACCTCAAGCAACAAGCCCTTGGTGAGAATAACTTTGTGAATAATGTGGGGCAAGATGGTTGTTTTGTCGAAAGAACAATACTATTAAGAATATTTATCCACGAGAGGACGGACCAACATGCAAACTATAAAGCTCATCACTGCGAACCGCTGTTGTGCCCCTCTGCTTAAAACTGAATGCAATTTTTTTGCTATTTTCCTGGGCTGTGTAATGTTGCCTCAACCTCAAGCAACAAGCGCTTGGTGAGAATCACTTTGTGAATAATGTGGGGCAAGATGGTTGTTTTGTCGAAAGAACAATACTATTAAGACTATTTATCCACGAGAGGACGGACCAACATGCAAACTATAAAGCTCATCACTGCGAACCGCTGTTGTGCCCCTCTGCTTAAAACTAAATGTAATTTTTTTGCTATTTTCCTGGGCTGTGTAATGTTGCCTCAACCTCAAGCAACAAGCGCTTGGTGAGAATAACTTTGTGGATAATGTGGGGCAAGATGGTTGTTTTGTCGAAAGAACAATACTATTAAGACTATTTATCCACGAGAGGACGGACCAACATGCAAACTATAAAGCTCATCACTGCGAACCGCTGTTGTGCCCCTCTGCTTAAAACTAAATGCAAATTTTTTGCTATTTTCCTGGGCTGTGTA